AAAACCTAGGCTCATTTTCATTGAGCCACATTACCCCAGCATTTCCAGCAACACGATGCACCAATTTCCCCTGAACATAATCACGGATTTGTTATTTATTAATAACAAATCCGTGAAGATGATCAGTTGATTATAATCTTTCGTATACCTTCTAAACATCGCAGTAAATTGTCATTCCAGCAAGGACTGATTGCTACATAAGCAGAAGTGTTGACTCTTGTTTTTATCTTTTTCTAAAAATATCCTTTCTTAAACGGCATCATATAATTCTCAGATCTCGTACTTATTATTGAATACAAAAGTGTTTGCTCAACTCTACTTATATCTGTTACGATTATTTTGTGATTTTTCCAGAAAATTTTCCTTTTCTAAAATCGCTGCACGGCCTATAAAGATATAAGCGAGTACTCAGGTCTCAACCATAATTGCTCTTGATTTTCATGCAAATTTAGATGAAAATTGTAACCAAAAGACCAATAGAATAATCAGTTACTGTTGGAGTGAAGTAAGTGGTCGGCAAGATAGACGATTATGACAAGTAGCTATGATAAACAGAGTCCAGTTACAGCTGAAAATAAAATAGTAACTGGTTTTCTTATCCGACACCAGAAGTGCTTATAAAAGCCAGAACTTACAGTGAGTTTTGGTGTGATACCTTTGGCTACCAAAAAATTGATGCAACAATAAGAAAGTTATGAAGGTTGAGTTTTTGAAGGTGATATAACGAAACTATCTATTGTAACACTGGGATGATCGCAGTTTACGTCCAAAGCAGTTGGCAAAATAAAGAGTGATGAATATGTGATTAAAACAGAGGTGTTCTGTGTAAAACAGCTCCTAAAGCATTATATTGACAACTACTTAGTTGATGATGACTGGAACAGTATAACTTGTTTGTAACTAATGAAGTTTCATAATGGAAGAGAGGTTTACACGGATTGGTCACCGTCTGTCTGAAAAAAAGTCAGAGGTGACGAGAGTTAACATAACTTAAGTACCTGAGGTCTTTGAATATTGGTCTGAAACATGTAGAAGAACAGATTTTAAGGTTGAGTTTTGCTTGACAACTGAAATAAGTGGTTGGAAGCCCTAGTTATTATGATTCAAAATCATTCTGATTAGCAAAGGTGTATTCACTCATTATCTTGATCTTGATAGTGAATTTTGTCATTGCTTCATTGTTACTGGTTCCCTTTTCATGATTTTTAACCACTTTTGACCACTTTCTTCCTTATTTTTCCACCTTTCATATTGGTGTGCTGATTTGAGGCGTAGTCGCTGACGATTACACAACGACGTCGGGTCTCATGTTGACATTGGCTGATTGACAGAGTTATTGCTAAAAAGTTTTTCCTCATGCTTGATACTTCGTTGCATTCACAATAAGGTGTGATCACAACTAATTCTTATGACATTTTGTCTATAAGTACATGAATTTTACTAAAATGAAAATAATTTTTTATGAACATACGATTGTTTTTGCGACTGTTGTTGATTTTGAAAGTTTGACGCCTTTCATCAGTTAAATTATATCAGTCAAAGACTAGTCAATCAATGAAATGAATGACTATCATCTCTGAACTTGACTAATCAATGAATACAATGCTCATCACTATAACTATAAGAATAATACTGTAAGCTAACTGTTTCTGGAAGACATCTTTGAAATTTGAGAAGTAATCCCTAGGAAATAGATGTTCAAGTTCCGTACTTCATTCTAAGGTCTCTTCATAACCATAACAGTACTAGAGATCAGGTTCGTTTTTGCCACTTTCTTTATGTGAGTGTCAGGTTAGAAAGGGATTCATCAACAGATATATCAATATGAAAAATATAAAAACAGTTTGAATTAAACACTGGAGAGGCATCTTAGAAGTATTTATTTTGAAGCAAACTTTGGAACATATTTACCAATAACTTGTACACAGAAAACTTGCAGTTCCTTCATGATTTCCTCGGACATCATAGTTATAGTGTTGACAGTCTAACTCACTATTCAGTCTGTCAACAACTCTTTCGTGATAAGTGTTGGTAGTTTTTGTACAGTGGGCCTAAAGTACCCTAATGTAAATTCCTAAGTAGTATCGATCTTCTACGGAGTCAATTTTCCTCAAACCAAAAGGACTCTTAGTTTGGCAATCCTTTAAAAAGATGATACTGGGTGGTGACTGAAGGTGAAATTAAGATTTGGACCGCGGTCGGATCCGAACAAGCTACTGCCGGGTTTTCGACCTGGTGCTGTACTAAGTGAACTACAATGCCCAACTGCTGACTAGATTTTTAATTCACCTCATTCACCAAGGGTTTTGCCTGACTACCATGTGAATTCGTGACACGTTACTACCGCCTGATCATATTCACGTTGACTGCCTAGTTAGGATTTCTCATCCAAATCCAAACCTAACTGAATTAGATATGGGGAGCATCACATTGATTATTATTTTGACTATCTAAGATACACGGTGATAGTTGGTTCGAATTCGGCTGCGGTCCGAATTTTCATTTTACCTTCAGTTATCACTTAGTATCAATACTAGTCTGCCAAACCACAGCTATCTCTGATAGTCGAAATGATAAAAAGATGATTGATTGTAGGTGATAAAACTTGGCAGGTAAGTTTACTTCATGGTTGATGTCAACTCGAAGATGAACAGCACTCTAATTTGGTATCATTTGAAAAGATGTAAAAAAAGGTATTTTTCACCATAAAACTCCTACACAAGTTTGTTTTTTGAATGGTAGCATGTGGAAAACAAGCGCAACATTTCTGCATGAAGTTGTATGGATTAACTGGTTTAGCTGTAGTTATAATGAATTATTCATTCGCTGTTTGTTTGATTGAACTTATCAACAGTATTTCAGCTGGAAGGTTTGTGAGGTATGATCGATTTCAGGGTGGTATTCATCAGGGACTGACATCAACTAGGGAACCATTGAAAACCTGAGAGCACCGGACAGGCGTTTCGTCATAGAACGGGACTGCTCAGAAGTACAAGTGCTGTAACCCAAGACCATCAGGTATCATGGTGGAAAAAATATCATCGAGTCATTAGTGTCACACTTCAGGAGGAGACCTTCTAAATTTCTAATGAAAAGTGGTGACCGGCGGAAGCAAAGACAAATACCCAACAATTGCACTGGATGATAGTCGTGCTGTATCTAGAACTGACAAAAGTATGAAAATGTTTTTCATTAGACTCTTACCCAGTGGTTGGAAAGTATCCTGATCACTGCAGAACGTTAAGGTTCTGGTTCCAATCCCTGGTAGGGTAGTGTATGCGCACTTCTGAGATTTTCCATACTAGGACGAAACAGCTTTCAGTGCTCCCAAGTCATCAACAGTATGCTTTATAAAGGATACTCGTGCACAATATGAAGTTGATTATTTTCAAAAGCTGATATTTCAAAAGTGATCACCTTTCTTCAAGCTTATTGGACATCTCAAAATGTCCCTGTACGATAGGTAATTTGTGGGGTTTTACCGGGATCACTGGAACTTATCATGTTCTACACTGACTTTTGTTTAAGTATGGGTTAGTGCAAGTACGTGGGTTAAAAAACTAGTCGGGAATGAAACTTGTGAAACAGGTGTGTTAATCGATGTAATTTTATCCTAGATTCAATGTGTTCATTAAAAACCCGTATAAATATTTTTGATAATTTCTTCCTGGAAAGTCAGTCTACTCATATAAACGAAGGCTTAATGCTTATCTAAACGAGAGAGAGTTGAAACTTAGACCTTATAAGTTAAGATCTACAATTCCGAACTGACAGTTGTGAAATGAGGAAACTTACAAAAATGAGTAGTTTTACCTGCTGAACTCGAAACAATCAATACGCATGTAAAATACACTATGTGAACTAACTGTTGAAGGCCAGTAAAAGTATCAGAATGTTAATAAGGTATATCGAAACAGAACAATGGATTGCAGAAAAGGTAAGGCAACCACTGTTTCCACGTTACTCCACAACAGGAAAAGATGAGAAATTATTCCCAAAATGCATGAATTACTGTGTATCTAATGGCTTGGATCATATACACAACATACTTATCACTAGAACTTAAACCATGACAGATAAAGCGTCTCACTGGAATCATTCATGTTCATGCAATAGAAATTCGCTTCTGGCTGAATGTTTTTGAAGTCTCGCACAACCGGGTGTAAATTATTTGCTTTAAATTATCACACTGTATAGCTGTAACTTAATTTCTTTGTATTTTCTCAACGGATTTCAAAATCATTCGTTGGTACCCATTTTGACCATTGGACCTCTTAAGGTTTATTGAATAACCCTAATATTTTGAACAAACTATCACAGTTGATCAAAACTTCCAGAGACCATTAAGTCCAATCTAATCGGCTTATGCACACCATCATGACGAATACGACCATGCATCTAATACAAGTATATATATATATATATATATATATATATATATATATATATATATATATATATATATATATATATTGATTTGACACTGGTTAATGCATCAGTAAATAAATAAGAAAAGCTTCGAACTCATGAAAGTATTCATTTAGCCGGCTTATGAGTTAACTTATATTATTATTCCCAAAGGAACAAATTCATCATAATGGTAGTAAAGTGGATTACAATGGACGTAAAATAACAGCTGAAGTAATAATAATAATAATAATAATAATAATAATAATAGTGTTCAATGAAATCAAACACCAAGTATGGTTGTAATGCGTTTCCATGATCTATGATGATAGCCTAACCACATAGTGGGAAATACTGAAATGGAATCAGTCAGTACTATCCAGACGGAACTTCTTTTATGCTAAGAAACTGCTAGATGGTCTAAACAAGTATTTAGTTCACCAGTTATCTAAATTGTTCTAGAAAAGACTGGATAAAAATCATAAACCAAATGTTTGTTAACTAGCTTCAATTTTCGCATAAAATATCACTCAGTCAACATATTATATTTATCTAACAAAACGCTCAACTTTTTTACTCTAGAGTTTACTTACATGATTAAGAGTTTTCCATCGAAAGCATAACTTGGCTACAGGTTTATGAACAATATATTTTTGTGTATAACTACCAATACAAGTTAAATGCAATACCTTGATATGCTGCTTCACACGAAATGTTATTAAATCATCAGAATATTTCACAAACCAGTTAATTGTATTTAAAAAGCTTTGAGAGTGACTGGTATTGCTGTTAACCACATTTTTAGTGTAGTCTTCCACTTTATTTGCAGACTGTAAATAAAAATGTATTGTTGGCGCTATAACTGGTGATGATGCTGGCCATATTGGTTGAACAGTTCTTTGCTGGTTTATTTGATTATAATTACATAACATAAATAACATAATACGTGGGATTTGTGATTTAAAAAGGCATAAACCAAAACGGTTGTCATAAAAATATAAAATTGATGTGAGTTGATTATCTCTCGGTGTATTGAATGGATACCATATTTGGCGACTTGATCTGTGTGGTGTTAGCTGATAGTCAATTGAAAATGCTGGATCATCTTTCCTAAATGTACTATTTAACGCAGGGCATGGTATAAGCATTGGCTGATCACGTATCACATCTAACTGTATTGGTTTCATATTCACTGAATTTGTGTAAAGAAAAACACTGCCACAATTTGATGAGGTATGCCTTAACTTCGGCAGCATACTCGAATCATTCATCATTCCAGTATGTTTGAACAAACATCGGTCTTGTTCATACCAAGGACAACATGGACAACAAGATGGCTCATTTGAAAACCAATTTACTGTTCCAATACCTTGATAGCTAAAAGAAGGGCAACACTGGTATAAACCACGGAAACTAGAGTGCTCATTATTTGTCTGAGGAAGTCGAATCAGAAGACTACTTTGTTTGTTTTCGATATTATATCCAGCTGTTGGTTTAAATTGATACGGTACAGTTGATGGAATGAACCATTTCGCTCCAAATGAACAAGTCAACGTAATTTCTTTACTGTCTTTTGGTAGATCGTAAACACGATCATGTTCATCTTGCTTTAATTCATACATCAGTGCATTTGAAGAGCTTCCAGAAGATGATTCATGAATAAATAAAATAATAAGTAACAATAGAAGTAACATCTTCGCAGTGTTCTCCTTAAATGCTCACGTTGAATAGTGTATTATTATCATTAAAAAGTAATCCACATAAATTCCAGTTGAATTTTTGAAATTTTATTTGTTTTACACAAGTAAAGAACTTCGTATTATTATTATTACCTGTCGAATAGAGTGATGCTATTTAACCTTAAGTAGCTGTCAAGGTTACCCATCTTGTATGTGTATGTTTAAGTGCGTTGCTGTTTGTTGAAATGGATGTACTCGAAATCATGACATGTAGGCTGATTATTTAGATGTTCAATGTCTTATATTAGGTGAGAGAGAGAGGGAGTAAGGGGTAGGAGCACCAATCATAATCAACACTTAATTGAATAAACTAGTACGAGAGTGTACAATATCTCTGAATCCCAGTAACTTTATTATCTATTTTCAAGTGTCAAAATGAATTTTATTCCACATAAACAAATTGATTCATGTACATGTATAGTGTATGAAAATGTAACGATACGTTTTATAGACGTATGTTTACATTAAAATCTGTATGGACTGGTTAAATCATCTCCATTCGTTGAAAGTAGTTAATTAGGTTTTCACTGATTACTTATCAGAAATTGTGCAGTGAATTTAATCTATCAGTCTGAACTCTGTTGATTGAAGTTTGTCAAACTCATTTTGCAGTTTCATGAAATGAATAAACTGTTTTTGTTGAAACTCTGCCTATTAATCTTGGTTATTAGCCTTTTTCTGAGGTACTGCTATATTTACTCAGTCACAACATTTATATTTTACCTGAGTCTGAAATTGACAGCTGTTCATGTGTTAGAAAGCTTGGTTATAGTTATAGTGTACGCTGAAGTGATTATTATCAGTTAAAATACTCACTTCCATTGTCTACTAGGGTCTAGGTTTAAAAACAGGGATGCGGAAATATCAAGTCATCGAGCAAAGACGTAATAGCAATGAAATTTTTCTTTTCAATGATTTCATTTTTCACAGTTGTACAATCGTATTTGTAACCATTCTAAACAAATAGCAGTCTAATATTAATCGGTAAGATCATGTGATTACTATAATGCTCAAGATAAGACTAAAGAAGTGCTTCTGGAGACAGAGTGAAGGTTACTGCTTTAAACAAGGTAAACCCAATTAGTCCACGTTGTTTTTGCACATAAAAATGAGGTTTAAAGTTGAGAATTGCTAATGATAGGGCTATGCTCATATGACCCAGTCGAAGGCCTTTGTAATTGAATTGGGACACTCTGTAAATTGCTGTGAAGGAACTACTAGGAGGGTCTAGATGTCCAAAATGACGAGATGTTCAAAATTAGAACTGTTAATATTCCCTCTGTCTCCTTAGAGTAACGAATCTTGACAGTGTCCCAGAATACGCTTACTTACTTGGAGGTGTTTACGGTAAGTGTACGTTGGTCTACAGGAACAAGTAAAGTGGTAGATGCACACTGACGTGGGGAAGAGCATTATTCCGTGCTTAACGAGTCGAAGGCTTAATTATCTACTGCTAATAAGATTCACAGGCTAGCTGAATAGTGTCTTCCTCAATGGTATTGAGAGGTGATTTCTGAGGATTTCAGCTGCGTGTGACTTTTAAATTCTAGGTTCATGTAGAGAGTTTTCTTTGAGACGGTGGAAATCTTTCGTATGTTTGGCTTTCCTTCCATGTTACTGTCAATGAATCTAGGTGGGGATCCGTTTTCTACTAGGATGGTATGTAGAAAGTTTAGCTCATTCTCTAGGGTATCCTCTAAATAGATCTTCTAAATCACTGAACATAACAGACAAACAAAAGTCTCTTCGCTAATGAGATGGAAACGATTTTGGGAGTTAATAAACTGCCTAGTCTGTGCTAGTTTCCTGCACACTGATCTCTGATTAGAACTAGTTGGTTTTCGTGTTAAAAGGATGTCGCTGTTCTGTGAATTAATTTTGGAGTTTTCTGTTTGATAACGAATATGCCTAGTTGATTCATCGTGAATATTTTCTGCACAACTAGATCATAAACTAGGTCATATTTAAATGCCAAGTCATCTTGCTTTCATCTAATCCTCTATCATTCGAAAATTCATCAACCAGGATTGTTAAACAGAAATGTTAAAGGAATTGCTCAGTTGTATTATTATTGTCTTATAACTCATTTCATATACTCTTCGAAGTTTTGAAAACACTTCTTACCCAAAAAGTGTATTTTCCTACACTAAATTCTCCTTTGTTAAAATTGAAAAGCAATATCTACTTAAGTGGGTTTTGCACTAAACGATACTAATGTTAAACACACCATCTAGACGGCACAGTTAATTCATACTCACCTTTAGGGTTCAGTCATTGATGAGAACTACAATAAAGTTATTTGTCCACAAACTGTGTGACTGACAAACATCAACAAGATAAGCGGTGCAATGTATAAGTGCATTTGAGTCATATCACCTAGAGTCATACACTGGGAACTAACTTTCGGTTAGACAGCGGAGATGAACACCTATAGATTTCACAGATAAATGCCACGTTTTAGTAGTGTCATCTTCAGTCTTATTCCAACTTAAAAACCACTTCAGTTAACATGGTGCATTGGTGTGCATTGAGACTAGCTTTGGGTGACACTAGTCACAGCTACCTAAGTTGATGAAGTTTCAAAAATGCATCAACTGAATTTGCACTCCAATGAATAAATAAATAACCAATCACTTCATGAAGGATGAAATTACTATTCTCCCCATTTTTTCATAAAAACTGATTCAAATACAAGAATAGCATAATTTGAAAATGTACATCTAACTAAGGTATCATACTTGTTTGATAAGAAAATATATAGGCACTGGTCATTCACTGGATAGTAAGTGAAATCGTTTTCGAAGTATTTTACATTGCGGATTGATGTCAAACAGAGAACCATGAAAAACTTGGAAGCACTGAGTAGCTGTTTTGTCATAATTTGGTACTTCTTAGCAATGCGTGCTTAAAACTACTTTGAAAGCAATCAGTACCCACAAACCACAAATTGGATTAATATAAAGTGCTAATCAGTGACTAGATTCAGTATGGATTTCTCGAAGTTCTATATAATCAAAAGCACCGACATGATGAGTTACTCTGGTTGGCAGTGAAGACAGTTACTTATCTATGGTATCAAAGTAATGGTCGTACCATAAAGCAAGATGACAAAAGTATGAAAATCCAGACTGTTGGATTCTGACCTACTGAATGAGTTAGCATGTACTCACAGTGATGGTCCTGTCGCCATTTTGTAGGTATGTACTACTGAGGAACTCCAGATCAAGACAAAACAGCCACATGGTTCTCAGTGCTTACTTAACTAATGTCCACCTGTGATGAAAACTACTTTGAGGTCCATCGATTCCAGCAAACCAACAATTGAATTATTGCCGATTTACTTATTCACCTTTTCCTTAGACGAGTAGATAAATTAATCTTTCAAAATAATCTTAGATGTAGGAGTGACTTTTGGATAGGCGATGAATTTTAGCAACATTTATAAGTACTAGGTTAGCGTTCATCTTAATACAAAGAGAAAGGTATAGAATATCACCATTGTTTCAGTAGATTTTAAGGAGTATAAACTCTGAGCATTCCTTAATTTCTTCAAGAATGTTGAACATGAAAATGGGTCAGGTCTATCAGATCTGTTATATGCATATTAAATGGAATGATTAACAAAGATCTTAAAGTGACATCCACCCTATTTGTCAGTAAATGAAGCAACAAAGAATAATGAACTTCTCAACAGTCTGCGCACCTACTTCGGTTAAGAGACCATCGTCTTTGCATTAACTTCGTTTCCAATTTCGAGTCTTACAACTTCCTATAGGTCTTTAAACTCCAAAGATTTCTGATGCACAGATATTGGACACGTGAACATTGATAAGATTATTCTCAAGAAGAATATGATAGAATGATGCACTCAAGATATCCGAAGTTGTAGGAGGTAAACGGTTTGTTCCTATACGAAATAACTCTCAAAGGCTTCTAATAAGCGAATACTTCAAGTTCATGTGCTTCAACGTGATGATAGAAGTGTCCGACTAAATAATCTTTATCATATGTGTTGCAAAACAATTCATTTGTAAGTGATACACTAGTGAAAGAAGGAGTCAACTTTCACAGGCATAGCACCAGTGAAAACGAAAGTTTTAGCTTCACAAAATATCTCAGTACCTCCATAAATTCCGCGCATTATTTATTACTACAAACATCTTAATATGGAGAACCACCGATAATGTAAACACTAGTTATAATGTGCAGCTTTGAATGATCAATTTGCATATACACGTTTTTGGATTTTTTTCATACGTTTGACTGTATTTTGCAAAGTATTGACTTAAATTGTTTTGATGAATCCATCACATGTGGTCTTATTTATAATGGTGAATATTACTGTTGCTGATATTATACTACCAATTTACTGACTACTATCTGATGTAAAGTAGTGTACAGAGTTTATTCAACGTTATGATTACGGAATATTAGTGATTAAAACAAATAACAACCAGAGTGATAGAGTGACTTTAAAGACCACCCTAGCAACTGCTAAAATAACCAATCAAGTTGCAGCAATTCGGTTAGAAAGGCAATATAACAAAAGTAATTGATTATCTCCACAGTTATCGGGGTGGCCTTTGAAGTCGTTTCCGTAATATCGTTTGGTGTTAAATGGAGATCAAGTTCAATAAATCTAGTTTGCAGTGTTACAACCGATACAAGTAACTGGGAGCTGTAAAGATGTGTGTGTTACTATTCTGTAACGTTTGATCAACCCTACTTAACTTGATGTGCTCTAGTACCTGCTTAGCCAGTACCTTACCTAACGTGTAAGTACTGATAATGAAACACAAATCAAAACAACTGATTCGGGAATATACTTGAAGAAGTAATGTATTTAATTAGAGTAAATGTAATAGTAATGAATGAGGGAAAAGTTTATTCAGATTATCTGGCTAGTATGGCTGAGCTAGGGACTCTGAGTATGTGCATGTTAACTAGCACTGAGGAAGCGCAAAACGGAGTCCAAGCCTGCTCGTTAAAACAAAACTTAAAACATCTAAAGCATCCGGAGGGGAGCTAGAGGTTTATTTAGTTAATTTAATTTAATCTGTTTATTTTGGTCCTAGTTGTATTTTGGTTCCAGGAGGGTGCACTACAGAGCGATGTTGCATTGTGTTTAGTGTCAGTTAATTCAATTTTCAGGAAAACCTGATGATTTATATGGGGATGGATAACTTGATTTGAATAGGTCCAGAAGACCTGAAATTAGTTTCTACCCAGTGACTGATTAGTGAACTTAATCAAACTTCACTAGGGTACCTATGACCTAGATAGATCAGCAGCACCATGTATTACTACGAGAGTGATGCTGGTTTGAATATTTGCAGAAGTATCGGTGACATCGACGCTAGAGACCCTTATTGCTTATTAGAACCAACAAGCTAAAACTCTGGTATACAGTCTAAAATATC